TAATGTATCCATTTAGATAATTTTTTATCATTTGTGAATAATTTGCTATATGTTGCTTCATCTATCTATATTTAAATTAGTATTAGTTACTAAATGCAAAAGCAAAACAACGAAAAACGAATATTTCTTTTGCTTTGTTTAACCACTTCATAAAGATCATTTATATAAAATTACTTTAATCCTTAAGTTTAATTTTTTAACTAATTCTAATTCATATTCTTTACTTAACTTATTTGCTTCAAAATAGCCTAATTAGTTTAAATTACTTTGCTTGTTTGCTTATTATTTTACTATTTTAACTAAGTTTTGATATATCTTTTTTGTTTTATTATAAAGTCTTATATTTGAAATTACTCTCTTTTATTTATTAGATTTTAAATAAGGATTTTTAAGTCTAGTTTTATTAAAAAACCTGTAATCTAGGTGTATTTAAAATCAATGAAAGAAATTAAATAGTTATCAAACTTCTTTTATGAAAGTTAATCAATAAGTATTTAATTAATAAATTTTAGTAGCTAAAAAGAAAATATATAAATAATTAATTTGATTAAAATATATTCACATTTTTCATTAAAATCATACACTCACTCATTCAGCCTAAAATTATTGTCATTATTTTATAAATTCAATAAAAATTGTTTTGAAATAGCAATAAATAGTAATTTTATTAATTTAAATTTAATATTTATTTACTGTGATATGGAATATAAATTAAATCATTATAAATAAATTTTGGTCAAAAACTAATTAATTATCAGATGGGCTAAAAGTTTTGGGGGTCTGGAGGAAGATCCTTAATTGGTATGGATCTATAGTGTTTAAATAAACATTTTTAAGTTTTGGATATCTAAATTTTTCACTTGGAGAATAAATATAATGTCTCCTTTCTTAATTAATTAATAAATGCTTTTTATTTTTCCCAATTCTAGCGACTTTAATAAGATTAATTAGAGGAAACAATTGCTAGTCATTCTAAACTAAAAGATATAATTGGAGGATTTATTGTCTTTCATGAAATAGTTTTGTTCATACGTTAAAGCTCTCTAACTTAGCCCCTTTCAAGAATTTTATGTTAAATATTTTTTATTTGAATTATTTTTATTTTAAAATACTATTTATAGTGAATTTATTTCATAATTTAAGAATATTAATAAATTTGTAAATAATTAAATTAATAACTAAATATACAAACAAGCAATAATCTATCTATAAATAAATTATCAATCGCACAAATTTAAATATGACATAACGTATGTATTTTAAATTAAATATTATTATGGTAATATATTCAATAGCTGCTTTGTTGAGAAAATTTGATCATTTATACTTTTAAAGTAGTAAGACCAACTTACTATAAATATTATTATTACAAGGCATATTTAAATAATAACTAGAATGATGCTAAGATTCTCATGAAAATTGTAAAGTAATAAATTTTATTCTTA